TTCGGTTCCATAAGCGTGAGTTGTGGCCTTGTATGGTTCTGGTCCGTGTAGCTTGAAATCCTTGGTGAAATCATCCTCTTGAACTCCTTTGAAGTCGGTTTGTTGAATATCTTCTTGTTCCTCCACTTGATTAACCTTCAATTCGTCTTCTTGTTCTATTTTCTCTTTATTAGCTCCAGGGCTTGTTTTGTGGGTAACTTGCAGCTCTGAAGTGATCTCTAGGAGTTTCTTGATGTTAGGAGTTACCTTGGTTTTTAGCAGGAAGTTCTTCCTTGATCCTGAGATGTGCAAAGTCTTCCATTAGGTCCAAATCGGGTGCACTCGAGCTCTCTTGTAAGCTTTCAGATCCTTGAGTGTTTCTTGGCATGTATCCAAATCCCATAGTGTTTAAAAGAGTCTCTACAGCCTTGTTGAACCCTTCCTTGAGCTTTCTTGTCCTTGAACGTGTCATTGGTGCATCTCTAACCTCGGGTATGTTTGGTTTATCTTTGTATGGTTTATGGTATTGTTCGATGATCTGATCAGGTACATGGTCTAGGTTTGAGTTCGGTTTGATGTCCACATCATACCCATAAGCATATGAAAAGAATCACATACTAGTTTTAATAATTACTGATCAATTTAAGTTTCCACGTTTAATTACAAATGACTAATTTTTTGTTGCCACAAAAGAAACATATATCCACTTGATTTAATAAAGAAGAAATCTGACGAAGTTAAGCGAAGTTGACAGTAGTTCAAATGTTTTAGGCACTTACTTAAGAGATACGCATGATTAGTGGTTGAGATCTCCCTAATATTCCCTTGATATCTTTGGTTATATTATTATTGGTAACTATATTAATTGTCAACTTTCAGAGATGCCGTCCAACAAATTCATGATCACCAGATCGGATTGTGTTCCAATAAAGACAGCCAGACGTTTAATTAAATTTATCTAATCTTATGAGATATTAAGAACTAATCATATCATCCCATATATTATTTCCAACCAGCATCCAGACAAACCAATAATTAGACATGTCAATCGGATTAGTTTGATCCGCCCTAAAATCGGCAAAACTTGCATATATTTAAATTTGGTCCGGCGGGATACAAGGTTATTATGAGGTTTTCTAACTTTTATATAAAACTAAAAAAAAAATTATTTACCAAAATGAATATAGATTAAAAAAATTACAGATATTTTTTTATATCAAAATCCAGTTTAAATAAAAACAAAAATATAACCTAATGATTGCAAATATCAAATGAATCTATATAACCATAAATAAATAGTATTGCCAAATATAACATACGCAAAACACTGAGAGTCTATTTAGTAAAATTAGGGTTTTGGGCAAAAATAAAATATATAAAATTGTTTTAATGAATTTATCTTTAAAAAAT